GGGCTCCTTATTTTCATCTAAAGTAACACACAGAGAATCAGCACTTTGGAAACAGGGCTGAAACAGAGGGGATTATGGGTAATGCTGCAATGATCTGCTTGGTGTTTGGAGACAAACACTTCAGAGACATGTCTGTATATATCTGAGACCTGTAATATATTGATTACACTTTGCAATACAGATTATGTGCAACATGTGAAATCATTCAACTGTGCAATACTCATATTTCTATAAATATAATTTTAAAGTGGCAAGAAACTTCATAAAACCCTAATTCCCCCTCGGATAAATCAAGTATTGGGATCCTTCATTCAGGGCTAAAGTGTGTTGAGATGATCAGAAATTGCCACCACTAAAAGGTTGCCAGTATATTTTTAAACAAGGTATACCTACACCCACACATCCCCTCTGCACACACACACACACATTTATCTGAGGCCTCGTTTTCATGGCACGAGGGACTTCTTGCTCGATGAGACTCCGTATATTTTCTCATGAATATTCGGTGTGAAACAGACTAGCTCCAGATGTAAGCATTAGACAGAACTGGGCCACGTTTATAATTGGAGAACTCCATTAAACTTTAAACTTCCCTGAGTTTAAGGTCTTCATGAGCGTATCCACACTGCTGATTTACAGAGTCCATATTATGCTTTGTTGGGGTGTTCCCTTCCCTGTAGTGTGCTGTAAAGGTTTTAATGCATGTAAATGGTCTGCAATGGCTTAAATCCCTGTGTTCCGTCCAGAGGGAGCTTCTCTCCAACACACTTTATTCACAATATCATTCAAAAACATGTTGAAATCATCATGGAGGATCTGTACCAAAAACATGACCTTTCGTTAAGTCTGTATACTGTTTGTCGACCAGGACTTCTCTGAAGCACCACAAGACTTCATTCATTTCAGATATTTTGCCTCTTACTGCACATTGGAAATTTTACTAGTCCATATAAAGATTTCAACACATTTTGGTGTGCAGCCCTAAACTGGAGATTATACGTTTTTACAAACAGAAATTCGATTTTTTAGTCTTCAGTGGCGAACCGTGTGTATCACAACTGGACCTTCTGCAGACACACTCACCCCCCACCGCCCCCCCCCCAGCATTATAATGCCCGTCTTTTCACTGAATTGTCGTCTTGAAAAGGGTACTCACAACAATTCCGCAACAACTTCATCTTCACCTGTTGCACTTGGCCATTTCCAATGTTAAAAACAATAAAACAGGAGGAACACAGGGAAACTCTGAAAGGAATACGCCCAGTTGGCTACAAATCAGTATATGGATTGGTTGATGCGCAACTGTCAGTCCAAAGGTACGCTTCTGCATTCAGTGCAACGGCCAGGGCATTCTATCAAGGATGTAGATGATACCTTGGTTGAAGGATATTCTACCCCAGAGGACCCAGAAACAGATCTGATTTGGGTTGCTTTCTTTTTTAACACAAAAACGCACTGAAAATGCGTGCAGGGTGCCGAGAAGGACAAACAAATCAAAGTAACACTGTAATATTACAGATCAACGACACAGATAACCAACTCTCATTTTCATTTTATTGGTTATATAATTAAATTCGATTTTTTGTTTGTTTTTTTCTGAGTTGTTCGCAAGGGTATTCTCTGAATTACCTTGAAGGCCCCTGACGGTTCGCCACTGGTAATTAAATTAAGACACGAGAACAGTCTGCATCGATATATTCGTCTGCCTTCTTTGTTATGACAAGCTGCAATGAGGCAAATAAAGCACACACACGCTGAGTGTGATAATAAATCGGCCAACGGAAATTTGATGCTGCCAACAAAAGACGAGGTCGCTTGATAATCTCCAGGAGCCGTGAGTCAGGAGCGTTCTGGGAAACAAACTAATGTCACAGAGGAGTAATGAGCGGAGCTTAACATCTGGAGAGAGTTACGTCAGAGTGGTTAATAACAGCCTGCTGGAGGCAAGAAGGTTCACTGATAAAACTTATTTACCAGCTCAATCTATTGACCTACTCGTGATATTCCGTTACTACAAGGTTAGCACTGGGGCTTTTGTTTCGTAATCTGTGGTCGTTCCCATTTTAGATCAGCTGATTGCAGGACAGTAGGTTAGGGCGTCAAAGTATTAAAGGTCCCCTATACTGTTTTGTTGCATCAATATGATTATAGGTCTCAG